ACCTAACAACCCCCACCCCGATAGACTTAAAATACTCAAGTAAGAGATAATTTTTCTATTAAACTATAATAAACGTTTGAAAATGTATCTTTTAATTTATGAATAAATTAGTTAAATTATTTGGTGAAAAATCCAGCACTTTTGAATGACCACTGTCCAAACTGCACTGGAGTAAATCTATGAACTCATTGCACTTTAACAAACATGTCTGCCTGTATTATTTTCTAGTTCTACAATTGTTTTAAATGCTAAGCTGTAAGTCATTTTGCTTCAGTTACTGCAGGCAGAAATGTGTGTTAAAACAATTTCAGATCACTGCATTTACATTGCACTTACATTGAGTTTTGCATTTGAAGCTGCAGTCTGGCCTACTTTACTTATTTACAAAGTGACACAACTGGCTAAAGTTCATACTGATCAGTGAAACACCCCCTTTTTTTATTCTATTTGCCAATTATTGCACGATCACTTCATATTTTTCACATTTTATCTCTTTTTAAACAACCCTGTGGTGTAAATTGGGAGGACCCGGGTTGGACGAGTGGTCTGATAGGCGCCACCGTTATCTCAAGAACCTTTTGTATCAGAAAAGACGGAGGATTTCTTTGTGGTATGAARATGAGAAATGGCTTATTTCTAGCATGAATAGCTAATGTTACAACTCACTTTAAATTAATTTAGACGTTTTGTTCAGAACATGATTGAACTCTTACTGCCATTTTGATATTTCTGTAGCTGTCAAAATAGTTTATGCATTTTTACGTTTTACTTTAGTTTGTTTTTGACGTTCTCAGCTCATCAGGGTCAGTTGAACCTTTAAAGAATTAAAAAATCCACTCGTATCAAATACATTTCCCATCTTTTTGCTCAATTGCACAAAAAGTTAATTTAATTGTAGGCAGATATAAAACCGATTTTTAACCCAATCTGGATAAATCATGATCAGATGGTTATTTAAATGTTAAATCTTGTTCTCTTATTTCTCAATTTAAAGTTGCATTTCTACATGAAGAAAAGTCCCTTAGAGCAGTTAATGTTGCAGAAAACATAAAGCTTGTGCAGCACAGCTAAAGCAAAACTGTTAATGTTGAGTGACATCAAACATCAGTATAAAAAGAGGGGATGAAAGCTAAAAAAATACACCCACAAAGAAAGGGACAACATGTTTTTGTTTGCTTGCATGGAGACATGAAGACCAGATGGACAGAACAGACTCATGAGGGAGAAGTATATATAAAAAGGTCAAGCTGTAAATTATTTGATAAGCACCAACAGGCTGGGCAACCTGTTTATTACACAACACTTTAATTGGAAAGCTGGAATTTAATAAGTTTTATTTAATCTTGGTTTRTTTTGATGACTCATTTAATATCATCCTGACACAGAACATATCTTCATTTCATCAAGGCTAAATRTTTGTTTTATCTAATGTCTTACTCTACCATGCATGGCCGAAGCCAGATATCAACAACACCCAACGTTGCTGGCTTCTCCGGGCCTGAGCTCATCTGAGACGGACTGACYGTCTCGAGTTCACATTTCAATTTGTTTTTGGAAATCGTGGCCGTCGTGTCCTCCAGGTCATAGAAGGAAAGGATTGTCCGGATTATTATCAGTGCAAAGTTCAGCCAGCCTCTCTGATGGTATGTGGGTGTATTCGTGCCCATAGAACGGGTAACTTCCACATCTGTGAAGGCATCATCGTTTATATGSTGCCATCCAAGCAACGTCTTTTTCAAGGACGTCTCTGCTTTACTTCAGCAAGACAATACCAAGCCACATTCTGCATGTGTTACAACAGCGTGGCTTCGTAGTAAAAGAGTGCAGGTACTGGACTGACCTGGTTCAGACCTGTCTCCCAATGAAAATGTGTGGCATATTATGAGGTACGAAATATGATAATGGAGACACGTACAGTTGAACAACTGAAGTTGCACATTGAGCAGGAATGGGAAAGATTTCCACCTACAARTTGTTCAAAGGAAAGGTGATGTAGCGCAGTGGGAACAATGTGGAACATGTTGCAGGTATCAAATTCAAAATGAGAGCGTATTTGCAATAAAACMATCACATTTTTCTGAACAAAAAATATACTGTCTTCGCAGTGTATTTAATTGAATATAGGTTGAAAAGTATTTGCAAATGATCGCATTCTGTTTTTATTCATGCTTACACAACATCCCAACTTCGTTAGAATCAGGGTTGTATGTTTTACAGGAAAATGTACTTTTTTACACATATTTGTGATTTATTTTGTTCTGCTGTTAAAGCAAAGCTAAACAACTATTTGAACTCCTGAGGTTTCTGTAATATTGATCTTTGTCCCCTGAAATAATTTTTTTCTATGACCACAGTCCAGCTTGTGATGAGTGTTGCTGGTGAGCGCTGCCTCCTCACAGATGGCTCCTTGTGTCAGTCTGTGCTGACATTTTCCTCCTCGGTGCTACGACACCTTCTGATCGCACCGCCGGAGAGCCAGTGGCATGAATGTCTGCTCACTGGAGAGGCAGGCGTATAAYAGACTGTTGTTGAAGAAAATAACTGGGTTATTTTACTTTGTCTGGATGATTTCAAACTACATAACCAGATTTATTTTCTAAGGCTAACAAATTGGACATTCATTTTTTTGTCTGCACGTGTTTTTTGCTTCTAATAAATAGCTGGGTCAGTTTATAAGCAGCTCAGCTTAAACTAAATGTTTGCAGGAATTAAGCCAATGGAAAAAGCACTAATGTAAAGTATTTTCCTTTTGTCCAAGAGGTGAAAGTGGAGTTCAATGTGACAAACGGTGGTGCAACACTTCCCCGCTGATGATTCACTTTAATACCCACACATGATGACTATCAACAAGCTCAGAAACACACTTCTGGCTGCTGGTTTGGAAAATCACTGCTGAGAGTTGTCCTCAGTGCTGTGGAGAGATTCTAACTTGGAGCTGTTATGTCKTCAGAGTGCAAGAGCTGCAATTAAAGTGGGGGTTATTTATTTCTTTTTTTCAAATGAARGTGAAGATGAAGGTGCTTTCACCCACGTCTTTAAACAGCTGCATTTATGAGGAAGAACTGCAGCGATCGAGCAGCACAAGAACACAATAGGATCAAGATTGAAGTCTTTGAAAGGTGCAATTTTTCTTTTTTTTTTTCCCCAAGAAAAAACATTTAACATAACCAAAAATTAGAACTCTGACACTTTCCCCCCATAACCTTAAAAGATTCATTAGAGGAGCAGAGCATGGTTTTCTTTGAACTCAGATCCAAGATGGCTCACTGTTCACTCATTAACTTCTATCGATTCTTTCTCAGAACCAGATGAAAGGACAGCAGATGATGGGGGCAACAGCCTGTTACACAACGTCCCCCCCCCTAAATAAACCAAATTTGATGGTTACCCTGCTTGAATTTCATCACCGATTCGTAAATTTAGCTTTCGTACGAAAAAGATGTGGGTCGTTTCTGCTGAACAGAGATGTAGTCTCAAGGTTCTTATTTTAAGAAAAAAAAACTCAATAATTTTAAATATTAAGATCCCCAAATTAAAGAAACCTTTGAGGTGTTGCATAATAACCAGCTTGTTAAACTAAAATCCTATTTTGACATCAAATCCAGTTTAACGTCAGCAGAAAGTGTCTGGTTGTTTTTACCCAGGTGTTCGTTTCTCCTTTTGTCCTTCACACAAAGACCAGAGTGTGAAGGAACGCACGTCGCAAACTGTAAAACCCACAGAGAGGAGAGCGAAAAAACGAGTCAATGAATTTGTTTGTTCAGCTGCGAGGCTTCTCTCGACTCTTGACCATTGGCCTGGACCGACACAGACACCCAATATCAGTTCAGCCTCTGAATAAATGAACAAAAAACAAACTCCAGATGCTGACCAATGATTATTTGAACTAAACAGATGTCTTCTTTGTCCTTTTAAAATAAAAGAAAGGTTTTTTTATATATAGATTTTATTAAGACAGACCTGCTGGATTGAAGTAAAAATCTGAAGAAATTGCCTCAGGAAATTAAAATATTTTCGGTAAAAAGAACTTATCAAGATGAAACACTTTAAATTTAAGAAACAAAACTCGCCCAGAATGACACAAACTCAATTTATAAGAAAAATCAGTTTAAGACTTGTGAATAATGAGAATAAAACAGACCAGTGTCCTGCATTAGTGATTATAAGTTGAGGTATTTGCTGCTTTACCTGGAATAAAAAAAAATAACTTTGTATAAATTCATGAATACAACATGCCTGCAACTTTGAAGGTGCATTTTTTTAATTAACTGTTAGAAAAGTAAGAAGTTGGTGGTGGAGGGGGGACCTTTAAATTGATCCGTGGGTCTGCAGGCTGATGTTCCAGATTTATAATCAGGTCTGGACTTTGTCAGGACGTTTAAAAGTTTCTTTTTAGAGTTCTCSTTTTGTTTTAGCTGTRGACCTCGGAGTCAAAAGAATAAACMTTAAACTCAGTATCAGTTTCCTGGATGAATAAAACAGGCTTTCATCAAGAAACTGCATCGAACACCATTCATTCAATTGTGCAGAATATGTTTCTTCAATTAGTGTAGTTTGATGTTCTTGGAGTAATGAGAAGTGTGAGGTTTGCACCACATGGTATACTCCTTACAGGCAAAAAAAATAAAATAAAATAAAAAAGTGACTGCTGGATATGAGCACCAGCTCCTCGCAACATGAAAAGAAGACACGAGTAAATAGATGGATGGAATCACACAAACTTCTTTTTCACATTTAAGAATTTCCTTTACTTTTTCATTTATTATTATTGTTATTATTATTTTGCTAAATGCACATCTGTGTGGAGTATTTACCTAATAACACTCCTACTGAGTGACACTTTGCATTTTGCTGTGAAGCACATTCAGGACATGGCAAATGTGAGTGTGTTAAAAGAAAATTGGACTTTAACTGGAGAAAGTTTTCAGAGTCACCTCGTTATTCTCCTGATTAATGTAGTTTTTGTCTCYAATTTAAATTCTAATAGTATGTTCTTTCTCTGCTGGTTTGCTTTGCTAAAATATAACTGCTTCCTTTTTCAGTACATTTTTTCTAAACTAACCCTAATATGTTGTTCTCCATAACTTGAGCTGTTTGGTGTATTTTTTGGACGTGGGAGAAAGTGAGGTCTTTCACAACAAATGTTTATATACTGAGATTATCAGTTATCTTCAGTGCTTCAAAACAAATTAATTTCTACTATTAGTAATAACACAAAAACCCAAACAGTGCTGTAGTCAGTGTCACCTGACATCCACTTTAGTCCTATAGGAAGTCTGACCTATACGGCTCTGGGCAACAGAACAAAAACATTATTTATCGCGATAGACACATGATCAATATAAATGAAAAATACGTCAGATAGATCGTTGATACTTGAAATAAATCTCAGATCCAGAACTGCACGGCATTCTGGGACTTGTAGGCAGAAAGGCTTTAGCCGCTCGACCTCTCGGCTAAGCAAGGTTGGYGGCATGAACTAACTCACTCCCTCTTTGGTAAGCTAGCAACAACCTGTTGAGTAACATGCACAGTAGCAGTTACTCGTTTCACCACCACCGCTGCCTCCAAATCAAAAAGAGCGACATGGAGTGAAAGGAGAAAATGAGGCAACAACTCCATAGGAAATTGCGGATAAAAGAGGAAAAGTCACGCCACCACTTTGACAGTATTATATAGTCTTTTTTTTCTCCTGGTTCTCATTACAAATACATAAAACAAAAATTAATCAATTATTATTGATATTGACTGATTTGAAACGCTTATATCATGATATATTTTTCAAACAAACTAGCTGCTCTACTGACACGTTGTGGCTTAATAAGACTATTCTTTTTTTTTAACCTGCCTGTATGATATGTTAGCTGACACTATAAAGCCTGATAGTCACAGATTTTTAACTATTTTTTTTATCTATTTAGTGCTTTAGAAAATAAAAGTTGGAAATGCTTAAGTTTGTGAGCACCTGTGGTTAAAAACGACCACAACCTGAGGTGGTAATTTTCTGTTTAGCTTGTTCACATATTATTACAATATTGTAGCAGTCCTCTACCTTAGGGAGCAGTACCAAACTAAATAATAAATAGATAAAGAGATATTGCTGAATACAGGAAATTTTCAGGAAGCCAAACAGCTAATGCAGAAAAAATATGCTTTGAGGCCAAATGTGAAGATTTGTTTTGGTTGGGAAATATAATGAGCCTTATTTTAATAAAGCATCCTAATTTAGAGTAAAACACCCTGTCAGCATTTACTCTAAAAAAATACGACAAACATTTTTGAAAGTTTTAAAACCTGCGTTTGTATACTCATTAGTGGTCTTCACTTTAACTTTTGCCACATTACCACCACCAGCTGTCCATTTCATAAACTGTACGGCACTAAAGAGGCTCACAGCTAATAAGTTTTGAGATGCTTTTTTCACTTCCTAGTATTTTGTTTTAATTTAATATATTGTTTTTGGAATAAAGTCTTTTAGATTTAAGGTCCTGTTTCATACTTGTTCTATTTGGGTTGCAAATTTAAATAATTTTTTCTTTCAAAAACCAGAAACTATTTAAAGCGTTAACAAAAGAGCAAGCAGCAGAATCTCTTGGGTTTTCGGTGGTTATATTTCAACATCAGCATATTTTCTTGGCAGCATATAAAAAAAGAAAACAATGACTACAGCTAAATATCAGTTTCTCTAATCCGTGTCTGTACAGTGCAGGTCCAACCGATGAGATGAACCACCTTCCATTCGTTCAATTCGGTATTAAAAAAAGTACATTTTATTGTTGAATTGCTATTTTTTGGATCTTTTTCACCCCAACTCCTCTTTCCTTCCAAGTAATTACAATAGTTGAAACAGAGCCAGAAAAAAAAACAACCTCCCTTTAGTTTTCCATGTATGGAAATAAAAACAAAGCAAAAAACGATATAGAAAATAAACTCTGATATTTACCGTCTTTTCTGGGAGGTATTTTGTACAAGTCTCTGGTATGTGACCCTACATCAATAAGTGAGGCTTTCTTTAACAGAAATGTGTCCTGATTTCCAAGAAGCGAGCTAGATCAAGTTAGATACTAATATAGAGAAAAACAAAATAATAATAATAAAAATAAAATAAAAACTAAAAAAAAGTGCTGACATTGGTAACACCTTACTGGCCAAAATGTACAGCACTACAAAAGGGATTAGGCTGTCAGTGAGGACGTCAGTATGGAGACTAGCGGAGTAGCAGTGAAAGTCGTCCTTTCTTCAACACCTGTCCTGGCAAAAACACCAGACTTACTTCCAGGKACTGGTCTCATCGGCCCAAAACGTTGGTGAAAAGGTGAGGTCTTCCAGAGATACAGAGAAGCAGGAAGTGAATGTTTCTAGTTCCTCTCTTGCACAAATACAGTTTCCTGTGGACAAAGTCCCGCCTCTTGCAGCGTGATGTCATAGTCCAAGTGGGTGAGCTTCCTCCTGGGAAAGTTGGTGACGAGTTCGAAGCGTTCGTTGGGGTAACCCTTGGATTGGACGTGTCTAACCAGAGCCTTGAAGGAAGACAGCAGTAATTTTATAAGGAAGGTGGGKTTTTAAGAGTAATAAAATATACATTTAAACACTTCTTATAAACAAAGCTTTATAGSGTATACTCACCAAAAGTTTTGCTTTTGAAGACAAAGAAATTTGTTCTTTCTGCCCATCTGGGTAACGGAGCATCAACCTCGCTTTGGGGCCTTTGTAAAAATAAATAAATAAATAAAAACATGTCAAGTTTATTTCCAGACATTGCTTTAAGCCACAACAGAAAAGGTAAGATTCATTTCATTATACAACTAAATATTAGCTTAGAAAAAGTCATTATTGCTTTTAAAATATCCCACTGTTTTGGTGGGAGATTCCTTAGTTGAAGAAAATATGTTATTTAGGAGAGCAAACAGAAAATAGTTGTTGTATATGTAATAGCTTTTTTTAAACTTAAAACTTGCATTCACTTTTTGTATACATGTATTTTTAAGGCCTTTGAAAATTCATCAAAAAGGCGTTACAATTTGTTGTCTACTAGTKTTAGTCAAGACTATAAAACACAAAATGGTGATTGGGCTCAAATGACAAATTAGTATGGATGCACTCTAAAAGTCACTCKACTCGTTAATGCTCCGATTGGTTAATAAACGGTTCAAAACTARCTTTAGAGGTTTAAGACTGATACGTTTCCTAATTTGTCTGATGATGTCAGAGATATCCAGTACCTAAATCTATATGTGAAACTTCAGCTATGTTCACACTGCAGGTGCATTTTTGATTTTTTGCTGAAGTCCTTGCACTTCTGGAACGCATCGTTCCCAGCACGCGATACGATCTGACGTCGACTTTATTGGTGCAACTTTATGCAAATCTAAAAGTATGAAAAAATACAAAGCTACTAGACTTCTGTTCCGACTGCCATAAAAAAATTAATAAATCGGATACGGGCCACATATGGGCAAAAAAATTATTGGATTTGGGTCACTTTCATCTGCGGTGTGAACGTAGCCAAAGTGTGGATTTTCTGTTTGAGGATCACAAACACAACAAACCTTATTCAACCCCAACAAGACATCTCAAAACAGCTAAACTCTTTAAATGGCCTCAGTTTGCAAGAAGGCAACAGGTTCATGTTAGWCGTACCATTATCATCAGGACAGTCCACTTCACAGGTTGTGGTGCTGATGATGGAGGTTCCAGCRCTTTTGGTTTGTGAGGTGCAGTGGTTCCCCCCAGAGTCTGCATCCGGCTGTGGATGATGAGAACCAGCAGACGAGGGCTCCAGGTGGTTTTTTTTGCTCTCCTCTTTCTTGTGGCTGTGATTGTTTTCTTTGTACGGAGACTTTCTGTGGGAAGAAGTGGAGCTGTCTGGATGCAGGCGCTGCTGGGCTGCGGTGGCCGAGGGGGGAAGTGTCTGTTTGCTGGCTGAACTCTTCTCTTCGTGCGGCGCTGGCGTTTCGCTGTCTGAGCCGTCGACGGAGATGGGTCCCTCGCTGTCAGAAAACGGCTCCGCGTCCGATTCCTCCTCTGATCGAGGGGAGTCKGGGACGTCGGGGACATTTGAGGACTCGTAGTGGGTCTCCTGTAAGGAGGCTCGGATCGCTGCCTCCAGCTGGCTGTCTTCGCTGGCATCAATAAGACTCTCCTGAGAACAGAAAGCACAGTCAGCAGCTGCAGAAGGTAAAACACAAAGGAGTTCAACTCAGCACATTTGTTGCTGTTTGACACCCACACTTAGTATCTTAATGCCTAAAATGTTATAATACTGATGATAATGTGAACATTTTTAAAGACTTCTTTACAGAATCCTAAAACTCATATGCAACGTAAAAACAAACAAACACAGAAGTTGAGAAACTCACTGAGCGAGCTCGTTTGGCAGGGGGTGCGTGGCAGGAAGGCCCGTCGAGCTGCCCATGCTCCGCTAGGAAGCTGGATGCTTGCTCCAGGAACGACGCCACATCCAGCTGGTTCCACTCCACCATTTTTTGACCTGAATTTAAGAGATATGAAACCGTACAGATCAATAACAYTTCATATCAGGGTTCCTACAGTTTAAAGCAAGTTAAATTTAAGACTTTTTAATGCCAAATGAAATTAAATTCAAGACCAATTTCATAATAAACACAAATGACAAAAAAATAAAACTGTAGCAGAAACTCATGAATCAAAGTATTTTTGGTTGAAGTATACAAATATTGCTAATAGACCAAATGTTTTTATCCTTATCTAACTGCTTTTTCGTCAAATAGCAGAAACATTCTTAGCAGTCACTTTAATGACCCAAAATTTGGAGTTTTAGGACCCACAGTGGGGTCTTAACCCCAGTTTGCTGTAGATGAAACCTTAAAGTGCCCGTGACATCAAAATTTGTACGAACAGTTAATGCATTTTTGAAATGACAACATTATTAACATTTTACAAAACGTATTTCACATTGCTCAGATGGACAGTTGTTGAGATATTTGCATCTAAGTAACAGGAAGTGATGTCAAAGGGGAATGTCTTCATGTAAGTATTAAAAAAATAAATGTTAGCAATTAATTTAATATTTGAGATGAATTACAATCATCCTATTTACAATGTGTTAATGTTTTTAAGACTTCTGAAAGATTGATTTAAGACATTTTAAGGCTAATTAAGGCCTTATTTTTGGATTGATGAATTCAATGCCTTTTAAGACTTTTTAAGGCTCTGCAGGAACCCTGCATATGGAAAAAAACAAGCAAAGGCTGGAAAATGGACTAATTATCATCAAACATCTGAACCACTCAGTTCAGTGAGAGTGCTATAATCATCTTCCAGTTCAGGATTAAAATGGTAATCTGTGGATATTAGTTTTCTAAATAATTAATCTTTAATGTGTAAGTATTCAAACTATCCCAGTAATCCCACTTAAGAACAGTTAAAGGAGTCATATCCTGCTTTTAAATCCTTCTTTTTTTTACACATTTAAATAGTTCAGTTGGGGTCCATATAAAGTAGAACTGCAATGCTTTGGTTTGAATTCCATCTCACTGTAACTCCACAAGCCCCTCTTTCAACCCTTCCCTGAGGTGTCAGATCAACTCGTTTTGACGCTGTCTCTTAAAACCCAAACAAGGTGCTTCACTTCCTGTCCCAGTCCAGCTTCCAGAGTGGTCAATTCCAGTTTGTTAGAGGGGTTTACGACTATAGCAGCGCAGAMMACTTTACAAATTAATTAAAAGACGTCAACGACAGAAGACTTATCCATCCAGCCTCACATGTTGGGCCAGAGTCTGACCCAGAGAGGAGAATGAAGTTGGTAAGTCCAGATCTTATTTAGAAGTTAGGTCACAAACGCGAATATTTCAGAAATTGTCAAAGAAAATAGAGAAAACTGAACGGTTTGAAATATATCCAAACAGAATATGAAGATATCTGCACAGCACCAGGAGAAACTAAATTCTAATTTTCTACATGAATGAATGAATGATTTTATTTGCTCGGGACAGTGTGCAATTAAAACATAATTTGATGCATTGCACCAGATTTAGCCTAAGGCTAATTTACATCTGCATATGTGCCCTTTAAAGTGCCTGTGACATTAATATTTTGTAATAAATGTATTTGTTGAAAGATAACATTGATAGCATACTGCAAAAAAAGATTTCAAACCGTTGAGATAAACAGTTGTTGAGATATTTGCCTGTTCAGTAACAGGAAGTGATGTCAAAGGGGAATGTCTGCATGTAAACAAAGCATTGCTACTATGGCCAACAACACAGACTGTAGAGAAGAATCTGACGTTTATTTAGATTATTTTAATCACTATCACAAGGAGATGAGAGTCATAGTTCAAATAATATTGTTTTAATAAACAAAACCAGGGAGTTTTATTTCTCAAAGAGTTCCCCTTTGATGTCATTTCCTGTTTCACGTTAGCTGAGCAAAATTCAAAAGAAAATGTGCCAAATATGAGATATGACAAGTAAAATCATGTATATTACGCTTAGTTTCCTAAATATAAATGCATTTTCTTTGACTTTTTATATTTCTTGGATCTGCATATCACAGGCACTTTAAGGTTAATTTAAAAATCAGTTGAAAGTCGTTGTTTAACTCAGCTTCTCACCTGTGCGTGGATCAAGGATGGAAATATAAGGAAACTTGTTCAACTTATAGAACTGGATGTACCTTTGTCCTTCTTCACTATCATGATACACCTGCCGAGAGAGAAGATGAGCCACAACTGAACATAGAGATATGAAAAAGCAGTTTGGTTAGTTTTGGAGTGAAGCTGTAAAGTTTTAACTATGTTCTGTGTGTGAAATGTGTTTTTTTTTTTGTCTCGACACTGTGCTGCTCATAACACACCTGCCAGAATATGAAGTGTTCTCGGATGATGTTCTTCACCGCGTCGTTACTCCACACGTCCCTGTTGAGACACTGGCACGCAAAGTCCTGAACGTTCTGAATGTTGATCATTAGCCACTTGTTTTCGAGCTGTCCGCAGTCTTTCGCCTAAAAACACACAAGTTGGATTTAGTGTTTTTATAATACATTAAGATTAATCAGTTTATTAAAAATAAAACAATGACACTATAATATGGTATGAACAATCATCTTTTTTATTTACCACTTCCTGATCTGATGCTAGATTTGTGGTTGCATTTAATATAAACATAAAATCCTCAAAGGTTTTAAGGTTACTTGTAGTAAAGAAATATCCTTATCGGRACTTTAAAAAAACTGTTCCAAAAAATCTATAAATCTGCAAACTTTCTTCAGAAGACCTCCCAGATTCAACATGCAGCAAGAGATCCTTTATGTTGTAACTAAATATAAGTCTTCCATTACAGAAAGTAACTACACTGCACTATGTTTTTTATTTATTTTATATTTTGGACAAGTACAATTGTCAGATAGACGGTTATAAGAGCCTGATCATTTGTATCTGGTTTGTGATCTACACAACTGCTGTCTGAAAATTTGCTGAAAGTTCCCTCAAACTGTGGCGTCGAGTGTCCTGCGTGACTTCCCACCGTCTCAAAGCTGCCTTTGTGCATGAGTTCAATGGGAGGACGGAAAAGGTCTGCCAGGGTGCTGAGTTTCTTATCCACCGTTCCTCCGTTACGCAGCTCCTGTTCCTGGCGGACTTTAGGAGAAAGACATTCTTGTCATGGGAATCCAAAACAAAACAGCAGAAAATCTAGGAAGGATTTTTTTTTAGATCAAAACAAAATACAATGACTAGTATTCTCTATAAAATGATATACGGTTAGAAAATAAACTTGTAAAGACACACTTGTTTCTGTTTGAAAGTCTCTGAAGCCGTCAAATATTGATCGAGCAGGTCGTCTTCGCTTTGGCACTAATAGATGACAGAGAAATTCAAAGTTACTTGTAATTTCAACAGGAGCTGGTGATAACTTGTTTGAGTAAAATGATATAACATTAGAATACCTCCAAACAGGGGTTCTGGCTCCACCAGTATGTCCTGCTTCTGGGGAATGGGTGCTCGCACTTCACTGAGACATAAGACAATAATACACATAATTATAATTATCCAAAGCAAAACATTTGAATTCAATCAGTTTTTAAAGCAGCTTTGATTTTTTTATTGCACCGACACACAACAAGGACTATTTCTTTATTTGTGAAAAGAAAACTCACTGAGTTCAGTTTTGTTTTTATCTAAGGTTTATGAAGAGAAACATGAGCTCACTCTGTKGGGGGAGCTCTGCTGCTTGATGCTGCTGAACTGGAACTGGTGCTGGGCTCCTCCGCCATCCCACCTCCATCCAGGAACATGGTCACTGCCATCTCCAGGTTATTGTTGCACGCTTCAAGCATGTGCTTCCCTACGCTCTCTGTGGCCCCTGGAAGAGAGACGGGAATAGAAACAGTCATCTAGTGAACAGTTCAGTTCAGAAGTTATTTGTCATTGTTATAAAAAACTTTGTTTAATGAGAACCTGTCCATAGATCATCTATATGCCATTTTTGATGATTTGACATTGTTAATGTGTCAACATTTATTTTTTTCTAGTATTATTATTACTCCCTATATGAGCCGTTTTAAGATAGTATTATAATAATCAAACTCATTCATTCAAAACCTACATGTGCTTATTTAGGTCTATTTATTTTTGCAATAAAGATGAAATTAATGACCTTGTTGCACGCTGAGAAAGTTAAAAAAATAAAAATGATAAAAATAAACTGCTATACACTGATCAACATTTGTTCAATTTACAGAAGTGGATCAACCCATCCTCTTCTTCAGCTAAGATTAAATTGTTCTTGGTGTTTATCTCCAGTTGCTTGAAACTAAAAATATTATTTTAAGACTTAAGTCTGATTATCAAGACTTAATTGCAAAGGAACATTCCAGAGCATCTCGGTGGACACGTGTTTATTTTGTGTGGTAAAATTAATGGACAGCTCAGTTATGCATAAGATGTGGAAACGAGTAGTTGAAATTACACTAAACACCCCATACATAAGGAGAAAAAGAATGATTTCAGGGATTTCTTAATCCCTGGGTTTTCTTAAATCATGTACGATTACGGTGAATGTTTTGACAGGTTTTGTTCATCATCTTCAGCAACAGTATAGGAAACAATGTCTGTTTAATCTTTGTCACATCGATGTAAGCAACATATTCATTAAGGCAMGGTTTTATGTCATTATCCAAAACTAATATGATTGATATACAACATTGTTTAAGAACATTTTGACAGGTTTGCAACGTACAGTTTTAGTTGAGTGCTTACTTCGTCTGTAAGTTATCACAATTTGTTTTTGAATGTGACAACTATAGAAATGGGCAGCCCACAAGGAACCTATAAAACAATTCAAATAAAATATGGAGCCAGTTTAAGACGTTTTTTTTGGGGGTGCTTTAAGGAAATTCACGACCCAGCGTCATCTGTTGTAATGCATGGGCTATGGTCCCATGCACAACGCTCAAATAGCCTTCAAATGTGTTCAAATACTAAAATATTTCTTTCCGCAAAAGTACGAAAATAAATTGCAAGTAAAAAAAAAAAACATCATAAATATAAAGCTTTAGTCATTTTAAAAGCGTTTAAAATCCTGCAGCCAGAACGATATTTCCTGTCTGTACTGCGCATGACCGTTTCACTTTCCAAGTAGTCAGGTAGCCCTGAGCCGAGTCTACTACTCTCCTCTCCTCCGATAAAGAACTTAAATTAAACCTGACCGACGTGTCAAAGCACAGATAAACTATTCAATATCTCTGCGTCTGTTTATAAGTCAGAAACTACATTTATTCACATGTGGCTACTGCCACAGTGACAGCGAAGATGACAGTAAGCCAACATGAGGCTGGTGATGAAGAAGGGGACTGAACAACCGACGTCCATTCCACACTGCCAGAAAACAAGCTGACCGAAAACAGCCAAAACCCTTTTCAAGACTAACAAAAAATGTGTTTATTATAAGTAAMAAGATAACAATAAAATATATTTTACTTAATGTGGAAGGCGTTATTTAAATTTACGGGATTTATGATCCACATTCAGAGCATTTCATTCGAGTTTAGAGGGGGAAAAAACAGCCTATGCTTATGCCTTTCTGCAAAGCATTCACAGCGCAGGAGAGGAGCAAGAGCAGCCTTTTTTTTTTCTCTACGCAACCATTACGCGTGTTTGGAGGCAACAASGGTGGTCGTGTACGAGCACTCTAATTAACGTAATATTTATGAGGTTAAATAAAATATTATATTTACCTGTTATTGCTGTAAATTGTTGTATTAACCCGTTAACCGCCGGAGTTGAGGTGTCTCCGAGCGCCGCCATCTTACCGCCACAAACAACAACATAGACGTGGCGCATGCGCAACGTCGTCTTTTTCCGCCACCGTCTCGCGCGGCGCGAAAATGCATTGTGGGTTATGTAGTTTTTAAAAAGTTTTAACAAAGGCTTCAATTAATTGCAGGATTAAGTGGTATTTCTTTAAAAAATTACCTGTTACATAAGTTAGTGTTTTTTATTAATAAATTTGTCCACTGATAAAATTTGCAGACAAATAATAATAATAATAACAATAACAACAACAACAACAACAACACCAACAACAACAACAACAACAACAATAATAATAATCATCTTTGGTTTGTGAAAATGTTTTTTTAGTGGGATTAAAAAAGCCTATTACTGCCACATGTGATGATGTGGTGATACTGTATCCCATAATTCTGAAATCTAAAATATTGTGCTGTAACATTTCTGAACCAATTACATGTTTTTTAAAATCTTTATAGAAATTGTATCAGCCTCATCAAGAATTTACWTTTTGAAAGGCAATAAATTTCAACACAATGTCATTGTAGATTAAATTTATTATTTGGGGAAAAAAACTGTTTGGTTGCACCTAATTGCCATAAGTCTCTACTAGGTAAATAATTTAATATTGTTAACTCAAGTTTCAAAATGCATTAGTCACATCAACTGAATAATTAAAACTACACAGACTTTTAGTTAGTGTTATTTTATTATTTGCATAATACATTCAGTCTGAAAACAGCTTCAACCAAGTCCAAACCCCTGAAGACTCTGTTCTGACAAGGAGCTGAAAGCAGTTTGTGTAAACGCTCCTTCAGCCAGGTTTTGTTCTCTCAGTTTTGATCATTTACACAGATCTGTTGTTCTGCCAGGTGTAAACAAAACAGTAGAATGTCACTTTACAAAGGGAGGGTGATGATGGCACAGGTTTTCTACATTATGAGATGTCCAATCTGTATTTACAAATGAGGGCACTTCCAATCCCAACTGGCTGACTGAATAAATTTACATTCATATCAGTGATGCACAACATACCTGCTTGTAATCTTACACAGGCTAGTCACTGTTGTAGTCATAGCTGACTCAATTTAAAAAAATAAAATACAGGTAATTTTTCTAAGGTCACAAATGAACATCAGAACTTTAATGAACTGCAATAATTATTTTTTTCCTTTAAAATGGAGCTATTTATTTTATAAATATCAAAATTTTATAACCAATTTTAAATGTTTATTTCTTGTCAAACAAATCAAGATGACATGTAATCTCATTAATGGGGTAAAAAAACAAAAACAAAACTGGATGCACTAGGATTTGGACCTTTTTGTTTGGATTTACTGACTGAAATTTCTTGTGTACACTAATGGAATTTAATCCCTGAGGTGGGGTAATATAATGCATCACTTTTCAGTTGTAACAAATAATTTCATGCAAACTTCAGCCTTGTAATCAGGAGACTACCACTGGTTATATGTTATCAATTTACTGTTTGATCTAAACAGTTATATAACTTTTTATAAACTCATATGCATTAATATCATTAACCAATTCTACACACTATTTGTTTAATTGCAGTGTTGAAATAAAGAAATGTGCCAAAACAAAGTTGTTTACCTTAAACATTACATGAAGAGCAGCCTAGCCATTTGAATACAAATTTATTTCTAATACACACTACATTTTATTGTTAGCTTCTTAAATAATGTTAAAAAAACATCCATTAAAAAAAGAACAGGTAATCAGTGTGTTTAAAATTTAAAATAAAACTGTGGCCGTATCACTGATTACATAACCCTTTTCTGGGCAATAGGGGTTATTAACATTGCATCAACTAATAATTGTAAAAATTTGGACAAGGAATAGACGAGGCAGCCAAACACAAAAACATGCCTTTTTTTTTTTTTTTGTAACGACATCAGTTTATTTAAATGATACATTAGTAAAGAATGTTTTCTTAAAAAGACGTTTTCTCTGCAGGTAGCACTTTTCTGAGCTGCTTTAAATCAGCACGGTGTCAACAGGATGTCTTAAGGCTTCATTTTAGATGTTTGGCTTTGACGTTTGGTACCTGGGTTAGGATCAGTTTGAAGTGTGTTGAAGTCGTRTGAAAAATAAAACAGAATCCAGAAAATGCGGGACCCTAAATTTAGATTCTTTATCTAAACTGCTTATAACATTTTCCCTTCTGTGTTAATCTTAAATGTTTTACACACCATGTAACATACAAACAGCATCAATCTGTCACAACAAAAATCCCTTCATATCCCTATAATGCCACCCTATTTTAATTAATGTGACACCGGTGCGACTTCCATTACGTGTTTTTAATTTAAATGGTTCCTAAATTTGTTGATGGGACCCTTTAACTGTATCCCACATGCAAAAAAAAAAAAAAAAAAAAAAAAAAAAAAAAAAAAAAAAAAAAAAAAAAAAAAAAAAAAAAAAAAAAAAAAAA